CACATACCCCTTTGCACCACTCCTGAAAAATGGTGATAATAACAATAGTTAATGTTTATATCACTATGTGCCAGATGCTACTGGATGCGCTTGACAGATATTACTTACCACTCATTATAATGTTATGCAGAGGTACTGTTATCCTAAGGCAGTCTGGCTCCTAAATCTAATTTCTTATACTATGCTGACCCCACCCTAAAGTTAAACCTACCTTGTCAGGCTGTGGTGAAGACCATTCTAGCAGAGTGCATGGCACATGGCTAGTGGCCCATAACCATTAAGCTTCCCCCTTCTTTCCACTGAAACATGAATCTGTGAAAGCCTAGGTCTAGAAATGGCATGGCTCTAGCTGGTCCCAACATGGGTGATCCTGCAGTAGCATCCCCTGGAATTCCACACCCCACCCTCACTGGTGGGTCCGCTGCAAGGGGAAATGGGACAAGATCCTGTATTTACGGGGCCCTCTGCTCACTGCTTCTCGAAAACACAGTGAGTGGGGTCCAGCACACGAGTCAGGCTGACGTGGATCTCAATCCCAGGCCTGCTGCTCACACTGGTCACTCAAGCTCTCAAGCTTCAGACTCCTTGTGAGTAAAATAGGGACCCTGCTATAACCTAAGTTTTGTTTCCGGATCACAGCAGATCCTCAGGTGCACAGGTTGGACAGGCTCAACAAAGCCACCCAGGCTGGAAAGGCTGGACTTCCACAGTGCTGCAGCGTTGCATTTCTGGGACCCAGAAAGCCTTGGCTGTGCAGAGGAGCAGATTGCGTGCATGTGCAATCCAATTCCACCCAATGGCAGACATAAGAGCAGGCACAACCCAAAAGGCCTAGGAGTGAAGGCCTGGCACAAACCCCAGCTTTCTCTTCAGTTTCCTGCCACAGCTCATACAGATGTGTCTGCAGTTATATTGAACAAAGCTCTTTCCCCCTTAAGCTTTAGATAACAGTGACATGCCCACCCCCCAACAATGTAAGCTGTGAGGGCTCAGATCCTTGTCTGTCTTACATCCTTAGCGTATAAACAGCACAGAGTAGGTACTTAATATATTGAACAAAGCTCTTTCCCCCTTAAGCTTTAAATAACAATGACATGCCCACCCCGCAACAATGTGAGCCGTGAGGGCACGGATCCTTGTCTGCTGTCTTGCATCCTTAGCATGCAAGCAGCACAGAGTAAACACTTAATACACAAAAAGCTGAATTAACATTATCCTGTAGCTTCAGGTACTCCACAACATGCCTCAGAGTTCTGCTCACCTGATTTGAGCGGCTCTAACAATAAGCATTTCCCAGTCTGGAGAGCAGGCTTCTTTCTAATGGTCAAGGCACCTGCTCTGCCACCATTTCCCTGTGGTCACTCATGTCCTCTTCCCCCCATCATGGAATGTAAAAGTATAGGACATCTGAGTTATACACAGGAATATCTGCTTTCAAAGGCAAGCCTTATCATTTCCTTAATCTCAAATCATTGATCACTGGCTACTTTTAATAAGCATTTCACCAAAAAGAGGCCCGGTGGGCTTAAATGAACAGGGCTGTATAGACAGACAAGAGGCACGTGAGTTGAACAATGTATCTTATCCACACCAAGAGAAGGCCAAGAGACATTGATGTCAACTATATTGTTTTACCTTGTAAGAATGCCAAGTTCCCATCAGCTCCTGCCAGGCTTAAAACCACCTGTGAGCTGGAGCAGCAACTCCTGAGGAGGCCTCCCTAGTCCCCTAGTCCTGCTAAAGCCTCACCACCACCATAACTAAGAATAATTCCCAAGTCAGAAGCTGGGGCTGCGTAAGGAACAGTGCTCTGAAATGGTACAGCATTCAGACAGTGGTAAGATTATTACCTGCTAAGGGAATGCAAATAAATTCCATTTGCCTATGCATTTTAACTGGGAAGTAGGAACTCATGCCAACAAAAATCATGGAATTCATTCCAAAGTCAAGTGCATTTTAGATTCTCCAGCCGTTATTTCCCTCAATGGGTAACTGAGATCTAGCTGTATTCTCTGCTGTCAAATCTACTGAAAATAAAAACCACAGTGATCTTAATTCATTTACCTACAATGCAACCTCACACCAACGTTTCTGTCCTACCCCAACTTGTCTACATTGGCTTAATGGTCTGAGTATTCAAATAGGGGATAAACCTAACAATAAGCAGTCAGAATTATAAGCCTAAGAGATACTAAGAACAAGTGATTGAGAGAACATGAAATCCAAGCAGGTAAGTTCATGGACAAACACATATCCCAAAGAGAATATTCCAAGCCATTTCTTCCAATGCCAGGTGCCGTACCAGGCCCCACGGATATAGTCATGGAAAACACAAGACAAAAATCTCTGCCTTCCAAGAGCTCATTCTGGCCCATACTAAATATGCCTGTACCACCATACTGCTATTTCGCTATTAAACATGATTTCCTTTTTTTTTTTTTTCCCCTAAAACAGAGTCTCGCTCTGTTCCCCAGGCTGGAGTGCAGTGGCCCAATCTCAGCTCACTGCAATCTCCGCCTCCAGGGTTCAAGCAATTCTCCTGCCTCAGCCTCCCAAGTAGCTAGGATTACAGGCATGAGCCACCACGCCCAGCTAATTTTGTATTTTTAGTAGAGACGGGGTTTCACCCTGTTGGCCAGGCTGATCTCAAACTCCTGACTTTGTGATCCACCCACCTCAGCCTCCCAAAGTGCTAGGATTACAGCCCTGAGCCATTGCATCCAGCCTAAACATGATTTCCTATGCAAAGGATCTAAAATACAATCCATGGGCAATAAATACTGCTCCTCTGCCCTTGCCATGTCTGAATATCCCATTATTATGTTTTTCAAACAGTGTCATTAAACCTTCTGACATATAAGCAGCTTGGTATAACGGGAAGAACACTTTAGAGCCTGCCAGATGGGCTTCCACTGACCAACGGTGGTTCCTCCACTGACTGAGCAACACCTTGAATAAGTCACTCCACTTCCTGAGCCTCTGCTGCCTCATCTATAAAACAGGGACAGCCCCAGAGGGCTTCGTGAAGATTAAACCAGCTTGTACAGGTGAAGCACACAACAGTGTCTGGCAGAAAGCAGACCCTTCTTCTCCTCCACCCTCTCCAGTCTTTTCAGATGAGAGCTGAGTTGAAAACTCCTGAGAAGCCTCAGGTGTCACGTGCTCTTCCTGGGGGACTGGGGCACACTTTCCCATCACCTGGGGAGAATCACCCCCTCCTGCCTCATACTTGGTCCTGAGTGCACACTCAGGAAACTTCCGCCCACTTTCAAAGTCCTCACCCAAAACTGCCCTAGAGAAGTCGTTCTCCACCCAGGCCTAGGGCCAGGCCCACCTCCCCAAAGAAGGAGTTGTCAGCCAATGTTAATGGAGAAATAGGAAGGCTTTAAAAGTGACATTGTCCATGTTTTTAATCATCATACAGGAAGGCATCAACAGAAAGCTTAACCCGTCTCAACTGGTCACCCTCGCTCAGCAGCAGCATCCCTTGACTCAGTGCACTTTTGAGGCCCAAAGTCCACATACAAACATGCTTCAAAAATTCCTTGACCCTCTCTGAAAGAAGTTCTCTGGCTCTACCAACCTAAGTGCTGGGCCTGCCCTGAGGAAGAGTCAAGTGGCAGGAAGGCAGGTCTATCTGTGGGGGGGTTCTATGTGAAACCCCAGGTTCCTCAAAAGTCCAGATAGCATCTACCTTCTTTACCAACACCCACGAGTGGAGACAGCACGTTCCCTCGGAGTTCTGCTCACCTGATCCGAAGGACTCCCATAATCTGCAGTTCCAACCCTTACAAGCTGACAGTTCAGAGGAAAGGGGAGGCTGCGCCTGTTTGGGTGCATCGTGTCCAGGCCGTATGCTGGACCCGGGGACTGGTGGCCCCCTCAAGGCCATGGCCTCACAGGGGCGATTGTGCGTTCATCCTTGTCCTGTAGGCCACCCACCCTCACCCCTCGGCTCCCACTCAGGCCTGGGTGCCGCGGACCCTGGCCCTCCCCGCAGGACGCTTCGCATGCACAGCACCCAGGACGGCGGCCTCGAGAAGGGCCCGTAAACGCAGCGCGCTTCCTTCCGGGCACATCGATGCCTGCCCTTCTCTGGCCGGCTCTCAGGCGGCCTCCCCAGGAGGGGCAACCCTCAGTCTGAGAAGGCACAGCACCGGGACCACCCCTACCCCTGCTGGAGGACTCCCATCCCTCCCTGAAGGCTGCAAAGAAGGCGCGCCCCAGGTACAGGGAAGGGGACCCTGGGTCGTGAACTGTGCAGGGGGCAGGACCCTGGTGAGAAGGTCAGGGCGGGGACCGAGTGAGGCTGACGCAGACTGCGCTAGGAGTGGCGAGAAGTCCGAGGAAGGGGATCATGGTGGGGAGTGAGCAGTGAGGTCCAGGCGGGGACCATGGCAGAAGAGAGGAGGTCCAGTCTTGAGATCACAGAGGGAAGAGGAGATTCAGGCTGAGGCCACGGAGAAGAGGGGAAGCAAACCTAGGCCGCTGCAGGAGGAGCTAACGGGGGTCCAGCCTGAGGCCAGGGAGGAGGCAAGGGAGGGAGGGAGGCAGCGGCCTAGCCCGGGCCATGGCAGGGAAAAACGACGACCTAGCCTGGGCGGTAGAGACCGGGGAAAGCAGACTTGGCCCTAGACCGGGGGAGGAAGGGAGCTCACGTCAGGGTCACCAGAGAGGGGGTGCCTGGCTGGGACCACGGTTCGGGAAGGAGGGTCTAGCCTGGGCTATGGGAGAGACCAGCCTGGACACAGGTAGCCAGTGGGACTTCAACTTGTGCCAAGGGCTGGTACTGGGAGCCGGGGCAGGGTCACTGCCCACCCAAGCCGTCCGCGCCGGCGGCCCCCTTCTGGGCGGAGAGGGACCGGGTCCACCCAGGGTCCGGGACCCCGCCCCTCCCCCACCCCAGGAAGCCACCCGTCCCGGGCCGTGGATGGGCAGGGGGAGGGGACGCGAGCCCCGGAGGGGCCTCCGGCCCAGGGAGGGGGCCCTGCGGCCTTTACCATGGTGACGACGGCGGCGGCGGTCCCGGTCCCGGCGTCTGTGGCTCTCCCCCCCGCAGCAGGGCCCAGCGCTTCCACTTCCCCGGGTGCCCAGGAGTGAACATCCGGGTCAGCGCCCCCCTCCCCCCGCGCCGGGCCGCAGCCACCTTCCTTCCCCGCCCCGGCCCGGCCCGGGCCCGCCCCCCACGCCGCCAGCTTGCGGCCAATGAGCGCGCGGGGCCGCGGCGATCGCCAAGTATGGAGCGCGGCGCGGGAGGCGGGCGCCGACGAGGAACGGGGGCGGGGTCTGCGCTACGGGGCGGGGCGCGGCGCGGCGCGGCGCGGCTCGGCTCAGTGGCAGTGGGTTCTGGAGTCCGGGTGCCGGCAGGGGCTGGAGGGGCTTCCGCGCTCTCGGAGGCTCAGTCCCCGACTCTGGGCCTGCAGCAGCGCGTGGCGGCGAGGGTACCCGACCCCATGGGCGGGGATGCAGAAGGCACCGGGGCTGGGAGGTGACCGGCCCTCCGCGCCCCACCCCGTGCGCGCGCTTACTCCTGCGGCGCACCCGGAACTGCCGCCTAGGGCGGCCCGGCCCGGCCAAGCCCAGTCCAGCCCAGCCCTGGGGTAGTGCTCCGAAAGCCGGGCCGGAGCTCAGCGCTGCCGATCTCTACAGCGGGACCCAGAGCGCCGCGCTGCACCTGAGCCTGGACTCGAATTGAGGAGCTTTGGGCTGACACCATTTATTCATCACCTACTATGTACCAGGCCTTGCTTAGGCACCATAAGATAACAGATGAACAAGACATAAAGGTCCCTGCCCGTCCATATAGCTGCAGACAGAATAGTTGTGAGGATGACACAGGTAGAGATTAGAAAATTAAGTTCAACAAATGCTAGCTGTTAGGCGTACTGTCAGATGTGCTGCAGAGAACCATTCCATTTGCCCAGTAGGGCTTCCTCGCTCCAAAGTGACTCAAGTTTCTCTCTCCCAATCTCTCTCTCTCTCAGTCAAATATGTGTTGAGCTTAGTCTAGGTGGCAGGAGACCTGTATTGCTAATAATATCTGCCCTCCGTGGCCTGCTTGCTTTGGTTAAATCAAATCAGGCCATCTGTGAGGGGATGGTAAACTGCACAAATGACAGGAATTGTTTCCCTGAGCCAGGCCCTGTCCTCAGGGAGCTCGTAGACAAGTAAAAGCATTCACAGGCAGCCACTGGCAGAAAAAGCATGCTTAAGTCTTGCAAGAATGGTATTGGATAAGTATTACAGGAATTCAAAGAAGAGAATGGCACACGCAGTAAATATTTATTGGGCATCTGCTATGTGCCAAGCGCTGTGCTAGACTCTGGAAATACAGCAATGAACAAAACAGCCCACCTTGTTGCAGACCTTGAGTGTTGTCAGGGAGACAACTGGCCACCAGGCAAATACAGTGTCCAAGGCCAGGCACGGTGGCTCACGCCTGTAATCCCAGCACTCTTGAGAGGCTGAGGTAGGTGATCACTTGAGGTCAAGAGTTCAAGACCAGCCTGGCCAACATAGCGAAACCCCGTCCCCACTAAAAATACAAAAGTTAGCTGGGCACGGTGGTGAGCGCCTGTAATCCCAGCTACTCGGGAGGCTGAGGCAGGAGAATTGCTTGAACCGGGAGGCAGAGGTAGCAGTCAGCTGAGATCACACCACTGCACTCCAGCCTCGGTGACAGAGGAAGACTCTGTCTCAAAAATAATAATAATAATAATACAGTGTCAGGTAGCGATTAGAGATAATGAGAAAAATTTGTGCAAGCCAACAGGTAGGCAGGCAAGGCCTTGCTTGGGAGTATTTGATTATACAGCTGAAGGGAAGGAGGGAGCCAGCCCTGTGGATAGCAGAAGCGCAAGGAGCAGCACGGGTGACAGTGCTGGATCAGCACTAGTGTATTTTCAAGGGACAGACAGGAGGCCAGTGTGGCTAGCCTAAGTCAAGCAGGAGCTGAAGTGCAGAGCAGTGACAAGATCTGACCCAGGCTTTAAAAGGATCACGAGGCTGCTGTGTTCTGAGTGGACTGTAGGGGGACTAGGGCCTTAGAATGCCGTTTCTATATTCAAGACATTTATTTAATTAAAAAGCACTAATATGGTGCATCTTATGCGATGAACACTGTTGAGCACCTTACAGATAATAAGCCATTTAATCCTCATGACAGAGGCCTGAAAAGGTAAGGAGCTTGCCCAAGATCACACAGCAGAGAGATGAAACTGGCTTAGACCAGGGTAGTAACATTGGAGATGGCAAGAAGTAGATGGTATTCTAGATATTTCCTGATGCATTGGTGGTAGGCGTGAGAAGAAAGGAATCAAGGATGATGCTAAAAAATTTTTTTTCATATTTAAAGACTTCGTTGGCCTGGGGCAGTGGCTCATGTCTGTAATCCTTGCACTTTGGGATGCTGAGGTAGGCACATCACCTGAGGTAAGAAGTTTAAGACCAGCCTGGCCGACATGTCAAAACCCTGTCTCTACTAAAAATATAAAAATTAGCCGGGCATGGTGGCACACGCCTGTAATCCCAGCTACTTGAGAGGCTGAGGCAGGAGAATCACTTGAACCCAGGTGGCAGAGGTTCCTGTAAGCTGAGATCATGCCATTGCACTCCAGCCTGGGCTACAGCGTGAGACTCTGTCTCAAAAAGTAACAATAATAAAAAAATAAAGACTATGTCTTTTGTTTTTTTGTTTGTTTGTTTTGAGACAGTGTCTCAGTTCTGTTGCCCAGACTGGAGTGCAGTGACATAATCATAGCTCTCTGCAGCCTCTACACCTCCTGACTCAGGTGATCCTCCCACCTCAGCCCCCCGAGTAGCTGGGACTACAGGTGTACATCACCATGCCCAGCTAATTTTTTTGTATTTTTTTTGTAGAGACTGAGTTGCACTATGTTACCCAGGCTGGTCTCAAACTCCTGGGCTTAATCCTCCCATCTCAGCCTCCTAAAGTGCTAGGATTACAGGCATGAGCCACTGCCCCAGCCAAGACTTTGTTTTTTAGAGTAGTTTTGCTTTTTTTTTTTTAATTTTTTCTGAGATGGCCCAGGCTGGAGTGCAGTGGCTCCATCTCAACTCACTAGAACCTCCACCTCCTGGGTCTAAGCGATTCTCCTGCCTCAGCCTCCAGAGTAGCTGGGACTACAGGCACACACCACCACACCTGGCTATGTTTGCATATTTAGTAGAGATGGGGTTTCACCATGTTGGCCAGGCTGGTCTTGAACTCCTGCTCTCAGGCGATCCACCTGCCTCGGCCTCCCAAAGTGCTGGGATTACAGGTGTGAGCCACCATGCCCAGCCCTCTTTGCATGCTTCTCTCTAGGCAGATGGCCTTGCCTTTCACTTCACAGAAATAATGGAACCAGACTGGTGCTCATCATCTACCAGCATCTCTGCACCCTCCCCGAAATCTCTGCCTCCACAAATTTTATAATAAATGAAGCGTTTGTGTTCCTATCATTGTCACCCCTCTGCTTGTTCTCCAGATCCTTCCTTCCTTAGTCACCAGTTTCTCCCTCGGTACTGGATTATTCCCATCTGCTCCAGAAAACATGCCCTAATATCTCCTATCATGTAAGTTTCAATAACCACCACTCAAAACTCCTGGATCCCGCATCTCCCTCTAGCCACTCCCCCCATTTTTCCTGCTCCCATTCAGACCAAAACTTTGTAAATTCTTTGCAGCTGTGGATTCCACACCTGCTCCATTTTCTCCTCAGATCAGTCTGGATCAGGCCTCTGCCCCCACCTTCCTACAAAGCCACATTGCTGTCCTCAAGTTGACCTGGGAACTTGACATTGCAGAACTCCATGCTCACTTTGGGGCCTTGTGTTACTCCTGCCTTCTCTTTCTTAATGTACCTCTCTTGGCTTTCCTGAGATGAGTAAGGCTACCACATCCCGACACATAGCATGGCAATTACACAGAGTAGGTGCCCATAAGCATTTCCTGAATTGAGGCAAGGTGAAAAGGAAGACTTCTCCTGGTGCTTAGGTTTCCCTGAGTTTCCTTTGATGGTTCTTCCTTTTCTGAAGGCTTAGTCCTGGGACCCTTATTTTTCTGCATCTGAGTCCTCTTTTGGTCATTATGGACCTCGGTGTTCAGCATCTAGAACATAATCAGTACTCAATGAAGGTGTGCGAACGAAGATAGTAGTATCAACAGGACAAGATTATTGTGTGAATAAACAGACCAAGAATGAATAATACAGCTACTTTTAAATGAGTGCTTGCTATGCACTAAGCACTTTTCATGTATAATCTCACAGACTCCTCCCAACCATCCTTTGAGCCAGGATCTCTTTTTTTTTTTTTTTGAGACAGAGTCTCAGGTTGGAATGCAATGGCACAATCTCAGCTCACTGCAACCTCCACCTCCCAGGCTCAAGCAATCCTCCCAACTCAGCCTCCCATGTAGCTGGTACCACAGGTGTGAGCCACCACTGCTGGCTAATTTTTGTATTTTTTGTAGATACGGGATTTTGCCATGTTGCCCAGGCTGGTCTCAAACTCCTGGACTCAAGTGATCCTCCCACCTCAGCCTCCCAAAGTGCTGGGATTATAGGCATGAGCCACTATGCCTGGCCAGGGCTTTTATTATTACCAATTTATAGAAGAAGTTGGGGCTTCCATGAAATAACTTGCCTAAAGTCACACAGAATACGTGGACGGATTTATCTTCGCTTTGGTCTTTCTGACTCAAAATCTTATCTCAGAATCACCAGATTGAGATTATAGGTAGGAAAGGGCTTTGTAAACTGCACAAGGCAGTGCTACCACATCCCAGCACACAGCATGGCAATTACACTTAGTAGGTGCCCATCAGCATTTTCTGAATTGAGGCAAGGTAGAAGGGAAGCCCCAAGCCACATAATACCATCACCTGAGGAAGGAAGCGGCAACCTTGAAATCCTTGCAAGACCTATGCCCGGCCGAGCGCGGTGGCTCACACCTGTAATCCCAGCACTTTGGGAGGCTGAGGTGGGCGGATCACGAGATCAGGAGTTCAATACCAGCCTGACCAACAGGTGAAACCCCGTCTCTACTAAAAATACAAAAAATTAGCCTGGCATCGTGGCAGGTGCCTGTAATCCCAGTGACTCGTGAGGCTGAGGCAGGAGAATCGCTTGAACCCAGGAGGCGGAGGTTGCAGTGAGCCAAAATTGCACCATTGCACTTCAGCCTGTCCAGCCTGGG